TTATTATTATTATTATTATTATTATTATCATATGGCGTTAATGAAAGTATATCCACCTAATTGATTCAACGATTGACATAAATGAAAGTATATTTTCTGTTATTGATCAGCAAAAAATGTACTTGTCAATGTTATCGAGTCACGCTTAAAAGCAATGGTTTTTTTCTTTCATTTGGTGGCCTGTAAATCCTAAATTTGAAGAGGAAAAGCGACACCTTAGKTTTTGCAAATTTTCTCGGTTTCGATGGGCTAATATTTTTGTTCAGAACAGCTGCCGGTTGAGAAGTCGTCTGGCTATATTCCATCGCACATAATTAATATTATCCGAAAAAAAGGTGTCAAATGATAAATCAACTGGAAATAACAAGTAAAATAATATGATATAAGATATAAAAGAATAAGGCTTCAATTTCGAATTTTGAATCTCAGTTTTGGAATAGGACGTTTGCATGATGGCGTCATTTGACTCCCACTACCATAATGCTTCGCGAATTTTCTTTCTGATTCAAGTTTATATTCCCTCATGAGAAATTAACTGAACAAAAGAAAGTGTGCAAGGGAGTCTGGTAGTAGAGGTCAATGACGCCATCGTGGGAACGTCCTATTTTGTGAAGTTTATTTCTCACGCATGTTTGAAAGTCAAATTTACTAAGTTTTATTCAATATTCTCAATTATATTATAGGTTGCTATCAATAGACGTCACTTCYAGTAATAGCTCTTTTTTGATGACTTGTAGAATCTTGGACATTGTTTTGATCTCTTTTTTTCCTGGTTTCATGTCGTAGAAATAGTCAAATACAATAGTTTGAGGACTTATTTTGATATGTTTTGACTTAGCATCCGCTAGTTGCCCCTCATTCAACCGCTTGTTTGCTCCCCAGTCAACTCCAAAAAAGTCACGTGATTGATAGTAAGGTATAGAGCGTTTTCACTCACGTGAGAAGGCAGCCATAAACAATAGAAACTTTCTGTACAGTATTTGCATAAAAATTGAGTTCAATTCCCGGAGGATAGAAAATGTATTGTTTTGGTACCCCATAATGGCCGATGTGACGTCACGTGAAAACGTTCTATAGCATGCGCAAACTTTTCTCACTCATTTCTCACTTTGCTCCAGTTTGCAATTGCAGCAACCAATTAGAATTGATATATTGAGGCGAATGAGAGTACTCACTTGTTTCACATTTATCGCCCGTGTAGCCAGAAGCACATGTACAGGAGAATTGGTTAACACCATCAACGCATGTTGCTCCATTTCGACATTGATTGGGATCACAATCATTGATATCTAGGAAGATTTACAAAAAAAATTGGAGTTTATAGAATGCTCTATTTCATAATGATGTCACATCAAAACAAGCTATTGTTTTAACGCTAGGGATCATGGTCGCTGGAGGGGGATG